ATCTCATATATATCTATATATATCTATATATATAAAATTTATATTACACATTCACATAACACTTTTTAATGTACAGTTAATTTATTTATATTGCATGTTTTTTTTTATAGCAGGTGAAGTCAACAACAATGAGAAACAAACGCATCTGTGTAGACTGTTCAGATCACTGTGTTGCAGTGAAAAAAGGGGTCTTTGCAATGTTTTCAGCAATAACAAAAAATAGGAATGAATGGTAGTGAATGAGTTATCATATAATTATTTTAAATAGCAATGAAAGTTTATTGCAACCCTAAAGCAGACCTGGGCCCACACTATGGACAATAAACTATTTACATATTATTACTAAGCAGTAAAGGAGCTTTAAAACAAGCCATCCCTAACCTCTCCAGCTGCTTTTAATGTGAGATCGAGAGGAGATTATAGAAAAATTCTATAGGCCTTTGAAACACCTGTTGTATCTTTACATTTGAAGGCGGGCAGCCTGCCAAGAGTCTGGTGCAAATGAAAGCAATAGGGAAAGAGCTTAAAGGGTTCGTTCACACTATGGCATTGTGGTACCACACGTGCAAAGCGTGGCAATGCACATTGAATGCATGGTGCACTGCGGTGCTATTTATTGTAAATTGCACCACAACATACCTTTAGACAGGTTTGTATTGCTGTGCAGTCCACCCTGACCAAGTTCCAGGACACTCAGACCATTCGAAGCTTGCTCTTAGCATCCTAACAAGATACAGGACACCCTGACCATTAGAAGCTCATGCAAGCTTCCAATCAGAGAAGTGCCCACACCTAGGATGCTGGGAGCAAGCTGATAATAGCTGGAGTGTCCCGTAATTTGGCCAGGATGGCCTGATCACCTGGGTGGGAGTTTTCTGCCAGGATTTGGGGATGTTCCACATGACCTAATAAGCTTTTAGACCAAGGTCAATATTATAATTCTGCCCTGCGTTTTTTTTTAACACACTGTGTCCCCTTATACTGCATAGTTAGATTTTTCAAAAAGGAGAGCCTTTAATCAAGAACATTAACCCCGTGTTTTTATAGTAAAACAAGATATTATGTACTGTACTGTATCTCTAAACACTTGGGGGAGCCGTTGTGCAAAAGTCCCATTCCGAAAGACATCTCTTATGCAGCGGAGGTTATGACAGAGCTATGCTTGTGTGAAGTCCAGTCTATTGCATACACACACCTCCTACACCGTGTACATTCCACAGTGCTGTCAAGCGAACGATGACGTCAAGGCTGGTCCACCCTCTCTGATTGGTCAGCGGTAAGATGTACTTCTTTATACTTTAAAAGTTGTCATTCTGAAAACAGGGGGTTCTGGGAGGCGCGATGTACGCATGCAATGCTGCCTTTTCCCCTTGCCTCTGGTTTTCTGGGGACATTGCCAAAATGTAAACAAACAAGCTGGCCTATAGATCTACCAGCTGCTGTTCAGTGAATGAGCAGGGGGAAACAATTATGTGATGCTCATACAAATCGCCCCTCGGGTGCAGAATGTTCAAGAAACAATATATTTTTAGAGCCGTTATGGTAATTTACATTTTATATTCCATTAAAGCCTTTATAAAAGCCAGCTAAGTGGCCAATTACATTTAAAAATGAAAACAGGACTAAGATGCCTCGAGGCATTTGATATGTTAACCTTAGAAGTTTTATAGGCTTGCACGTTCTAATGATTTTATTTGGGTCTGACAAGATTTACTAAAGTTATTAAGAATTTAAAGCGTTGGTCCATTTAGAAACAATATTTCAGCTATAGCTGGAGTCTGGCTGGGCTAAGTCAACCTCTGGCTTCTTATACGTCTTGGAGACTCAAGTGGCAAGATTTCCCTGCTATGGTTCTTGACCACCTTGGTGAGTTCGGAAGCGAAGACAGGATGCCCTATACAAGATCGTACAATTCATGTTCTCACCCCCATGCAACAGCATTAGGTGTCTGACCGGCCAATCAGCAAGCACCAGCACTGTCACATGGGAGGAAATGAGAGCACGTTCCATGCTCCGCCATACCTGGAAGTGCCAGTTTATCTCTGCACTCCTGGTGGTGATTGGAGCAATGAGGAAGTGAAGGGAAGTGTTAGTCAGTGGCGTCACAAGGGGGGTGCGGCCCGCACCCAGGTGACACCATAGGAGGGGTGACACCAAAATGACTGTCATTTTGGTGTCACCCCCCTCTGAAGAGCCGGCCGCTCGGTCATGGACGGAACGCCCGACAGTATCAGGAGAGAGAGGAGGGGACCTGGCGGCATACCTTATCCAGCCGGGTGACTGTCCCCTCCTCTCTCTGCCGGCGTCTATCACCAAGGTAGCCACCGGCAGGTATCAGAAGAGTGCCGCGCGTGCATGTTGACGTCATCAATGCATGCGCAGTGGTGAGTCAGCGGGGTGACACTCGGTAACCGCTCCGGGTGTCACCCAGTTTAGGGACGCCCTTGGTGTTAGTTGCCACAAAGGCCAGCATCAACGTGAAACTGTTCATTCACCATGCATGGGCAAAGCACATGGTAACTCTAAGCCCTCATTCACACTAGTAAAGGCCGGCACATACAGCTGCGTGCACGGCCATATCGCTGAGCTCCTGGGAAGGACAGGTGCTGCCTTTGATTAGTCTGAATATCAGTCTGGATCCCGCAACACTTCTTAAAACTCAATCTTTTAAAAACTGAGCTCATGATATTTCCTCCTGCCCGTGCACCTTCCCCAAACTTTTCCTTTGAGATTGTTAACACAACTATCCACCCCACCAAGGTCCTTGGTGTCATCCTTGACTCGGACCTCACCTTTCTTCCCCACATCCAATCACTATCCAAATCCTGCCGCCTTCACCTTCGTAACATCTCCAAAATACGCCCCTTCCTCACAAAAGAAACCGCATAATGACTCATCCACTCGCTTGTTATCTCTCGTCTTGACTATTGCAACTCCCTCCTCATTGGCCTTCCACTACACAGGCAATCCCCCCTTCAGTCAATCATGAATGCAGCTGCCAGACTCATTCACCTAACCAACCGCTCAGTGTCTGCAACCCCCCTCTGTCAATCCCTCCACTGGCTTCCACTCGCCCAAAGGATAAAATTCAAAATATTAACAATCACTTACAAAGCCGTCCACAACTCTGCCCCCGGCTATATCTCAAAGTATCACCCTAACCGTTGGCACCGCTAATACCAAGACCTCCTGCTTTCCAGCTCCCTTGTCAACTCCTTCCATGCACGCCTCCAGGACTTCTCTGGGAGTCTCTCCCATCCTCTGGAATTTTTTACCCCAACCTGTCCGTCTGTCGCCCACCTTGACTGCCTTTAGGCATTCCCTAAGGACTCATCTC